TGGCTGAGCCCGAAGCAGTGGCCTAGGGCTTTCCCAGGGCCCAGAGCTGGTGCAGGTGCAACTTTGCCATCACTGTTGTTTGGATAACCCGATGCCCATGCAGGGAGCCGGCCCTGGGCGCAGCAGGTTGTCCAGGTCCTCAGCCCTCAGGTTCCAGGCTGCGCAGGTGGTGGTACTGTGTGTCCTGATGACCCTGCCTGGTGACCCCAGAGTGCAGAGAAAGCCAGGGACTGCTGGGGGCCAGGATGCTCAGAGGGGGCAGATTCCACAAAGAATAAGCACTTTGCTCTTGGCTTTTAATCAGAAATCTTCCTGACACCCTGTAATTTGGGAGCTGGGCTTCTCCTGCGGAAGCCCCGGGCGGGCGTCAACTGCAGACGAGGCTGTGAGGGAGCCAGAGTGACATTTTCAGGACCCTCATTCAGGTCTGCACCTCACAGCTTCCCTCCTCTGTGGCTCTGACATGGCCTGTGCTGCAGGGAACAGAGCCCCAGCCTGACCCCTCTGGGCCAGGTCTTGGCTGTACAGTGACCTGGAGAGCTGCCGGCCACCAGCCCCCATGGGGACAGTCCACAGCCATGCAGGGGCATCAGAAACATGAACCATCACTGACCCTGCAACCTCCTAGTGCCACCCAAGTCACGGGTCACAGGAAAGGGCACCAGGGACACCACGGGTCAGGGACAGGTACAGCCACGTGAGCACAAGGAAGGGACAGTGCACATGTGCACATGTGCGTGTGTGTATGCGTGTGCGTGTGTGTGTGTGTGTGTGTGTGTGATGAGCTGTGTGGGTGGCTGTCATTTTCTAGACACAAATCATTCATGTGTTTTCCACAACAGTTTTGTGATTCTCGGACAGTAATTCAATTTCAGCTTAAATAAGCTAACACGATGAAGGATAACTGAGTATGTTCATTAACCTATTTAGAAATACACTGCTGATCGTGTTGCCACAGTGAAATAGCATTAAGTCTTAGACTGACAATTAACGTGATCCATAATTAAGGACCACCTGCCAAGTTAGTTCTAAATGGAATATGGAAACATTGGCTTTTTTAAAAATACCTGTCACTAAGGGTTTTTTTTTTTTTTTTTTGAGTATTCAAAACACTGTTATGGTTTGAGTCCAGAAGTCCCCGGAGCCTCACGCAGTCACAGGGCGATCTTCAGTGCTGGGATTACAGGTGTGAGCGCTACACCGCTGTGGGGCGGCTAGGCTGAGTGCAGGGAAGGGAGGGAGGCTCGCACTCTGCCTGCTGTGGCTGCCGCTGCTCCGGCCTTTTTGCTCTTGCTGTTTTGCTGTCTTCTGCCACTATGTATGGCTGCCCTCTGCCACGTGTCACCTTGGTTTGGAGCCAGCTGGTTATCGACTGAAACCTCCACAAATTTCCTTAATTCTTGGTGTCAGGTATTTTGTCCCAGTGAAAGAAAAGTAGCCACAACAAGTATTCAACCTCAAAAATATAAAAATGAAGCCACGCAGTGGGATTGTGGGTAAAGTGCATTTGAGAGGGTCACACCAGTGGTGTGAGATGGTGTTACTTGGGAGGGTGGCGTTACTTGGGAGGGTCCCACCCAGAACCTGACTCAGCTGAGTGGCGCAGCCAGGCTGCAGACAGAGAGCGCCGGGGTTTGAGATGTGGCCTGGGCCTCCCCTTGGTGTCCCCTGAGGGGGGAGTCAACCGTGCCAGCTGCAGTGGCCAGTACAGCCTTCGCTCATGAGAAGAGCACCAATGCCAGCAGACCCAGGCCACTCGAGGGTCCATTGTTCATCAAATGACCGAGACCAGCAGTGGCCAGCCACAGCGTTGGATCCATGCCTTTCCTCCCCGTGCCTAACGGGCTATGCAAATGGCCCCTCCTCCTCTTCCCCACCCACGTCTCTGTGAGGCTGCTCCCCCCCGCCACTGCTTCACTGAGCAGCCCGCCAGGTACTAATCGACTTAAGAAAATATGAAAAACAGTGGCATGCTTTATATTTTTTCCTTTGAAAAATGTATTATTTATAAAAATGTTATATATGCCACCCATAGTGGGTTTATTTAAACTAATTAAAGATATAGCTTCAGAATTTCTAGCCTGGCATGGCAACATATGCTTTCTGGAAGGCTGAGGCAGAAGAGTGGCACATTGGAGGCTAGCCCAGGTCTCTTGGCAAACCAGGGCCACCTCAGGCCTAAGGAGACCCCACCTGGAGCAACAGGGGGGAGGAGGGAGGGAGAGGGGGAGAGGGAGAGGGAGGAAGAGAGAGAGAATGGAAGGAAGGGAGGAAAGGAGGGGGGAGGGAGAGGAGGAGGGAGGGAGGGAAGGAGGAAGGGAAATATTAAGTTTTAATATCTAATAAATATCAAAATCTCAATAGCTAGCACATAAATGAAGCTCTTTGGGATCCTCAGAAAGTAAGGAGTGTAAAAGGCTCCTGAAGGCCAGGTTGAGCGCCACTGTTGTACATGTGGCCTGGGCATGGGGGGTCTCCTCACGCCATAGGTTCTGTCCCTTGGAGAATCAACAGCGCGTGGTGGGTTCTCTTTATCTCCTGCTTGCACAGCACATGTGACACTCGTCTGAAGTCAGTTTGGCTTCCATATATTAGCCACCTATCCCTTCCATGATTCTCAACTTTAAATTTTAGTGTCAGCCGCTCACTAAATCATGTGCCATCTGCACGGCCCGTCCCTCTGTTTAGCTTCAAAACCCAGTGTTTGTCCTGAACTTTAAACAGGAAGAAGTGATTTGTGCTGCTGCTTCACTCTAAAGTGAAGCACAGAGCGTCTCAGTCTTGTGCAACAGCAAGGGGCAATCGAAGCGTGGTCTGTCTAGGGAAGTCTCAGGCTCAGTACCCCCCTCCCCAAGGCGGAGCCCCGCTGCGCCCACCTGGCCTGCAGGCTTCTCCAGGGCGCCCTGCCCCTCGCTGACCCCGGAGCCCTGCCCTACCACCACGGCTCAGGCGGGCGAGCACAGGCCGGCCAGCTCGCAGAGGTCTAATGACTGTTTTAATTTGCCTTCTTTCCCTCTGCAGGAATTTGACTGGCACCTTTCCTAACTACCCTGATGTAGAGGACGGCGGCTCAGCTGTTATTTTTTCCAACAAGACCCCAGAACAGGTACAAATGTGCTTGAGAGTAGCATGGGAATGCCCCGTAGCCCCGCTTCTTCCCGCTTTGGGGTTGGTGGGCTCCAGGTGTTCTGGGTCTCGGTTGCTTCCTGTGGTGTCTACCTGCGTGGACGAGCTGTGGGGCGTATGTCGATGTGTTGGGTCTTTTCACATTTACTTTGAATGAATTCACCCTTTTCCTGCCTGGTCTTTGAAGGAGGCCAGCAGGCTCGGGGCCTGTCTTCTCGAGCTTCTGGAGCTCACTTCCAGGAGTCCCCAGGGTTTGTGTCCCTGCTGCCTCACAGACTCTTCTCCTCTCCTCCCTCCCTCCTTGTCACCCACTGGTCATGGGCCCCAGAGTCTCCCTACTGGTCCCCCTCACTCTTGCGGCGCCCTCCAGGACTTTGCACTTGGTGAGCCCTCCAAGCCCCAGGTGTCCCCACCACAGCTGTGCGTGTTTCCATGGAAACACTAACAAATGCAATGAGATTATTTTTTTAAGGAATAATCTTATGAATTTCCAGATTATGAGTTATCTTCCTAGAAAGCACAATACACTCCACAAGAAGTTACACTGACATATTAGAATTGTGCAGAATTATACTAACAACTTTCCTGAAGAAAACACAAGACTGATAAATCAATCAGTGGATCATTTCCTGAGAGAAAGACTCGATAAAGCACAAGCTTCAGCATCTCTCCATCGTTCTGTGCACTGTGCTGTTCTGTACAGGTTCACTCAGACCCAAAAGTAAGTTTTATACTCACAGATGTACTGTCACATACATCCCAAAGAATTTATGAAAATATCTAAAAGGATTTTTTTAAAGAACTATAGTGAAGGGGATCGTATGTTATAGAAAAATTCAACTTACATTTTTTAAAATATATTTGGTACAGGGTCTCACTACGCAGCTTGAACTGGTAGTGATCCTCCTGTCTCAGCCTCCCCAGCACTGGAATTACAAGCATGTGTCACCACGCCTGGACTCGGTTGCCTGCTCAGCATCCCTGAGCATGGGGCCTGCACAGCCTGTGGTGCTGGGCATTAAACCCCATCCCCTGCGCTTGCCTAAGCAGGCACTGACTTAGTCCACTGAACTGTCTCTCTGGCCCTCAACTTACACTTCTCAATTGCCTGAAGGAAATGGTCAAACCTTTTAGCATGAGGAGCCACATAGTCAGCATTCCAGGCTCTAGAGCACATACGAGGTGCAATCACAGCACCAGGTCGCTCGCCCTCCTCAGCATCTGCCCCGCTCCGTGGGCCTTTTGTGGCCATTTCGACTTTGGCAGAGGAGCCGGAAGCCACATGTGGCCAGATCTCATAAGAAAGCTGGCTGAAGACACCGCGACCTCCGCCGAGCCTGCCTTCGCGTAGATGGCACCAGACAGCAGCACTCAGCCTGCCGCACCTCGTGAGGACACTCGTGTAACCAGACACTTGAACTGCTTCTCAGAGTGGCAAGGATGGTGCAGTGGGGTGCTCACACAGGAGAGGCATCAGCCAGGGCGCCAATAGCAGTGCTGTAATAATTTTTTTTAAGTTTAAACAGTCACCTTTCATAAAATCACACCTCAGCATTCACTGCCACAGCTGCTGTGCTCTGCCATAATACCCTAAAAGCAGCTGAAGACAGTATGGAGATGCCCTCGGGAGCTTTGCTTCCACTGCGGGCCAGCAGGCCAGCTGGGCCACGTGCCGCAGCCCGCCACCCTGCTGCCGGCAGCTGCACAGGCTGCTCCTACCTGCCTTGCCCTTCTCCGATGGAGAAACAGCCTCGGGTTCCTTAGCAGGACAGTGAGCACAAGTGGCACTGAACACTGAGGCTGCAGGCCACGCGGCACCCACCCCTCAGAGCCCGCCCCAGACACTGTGTGCGCCGGTGCCCTGGCATGTCCCCTACACCTCCCCGGCAGAAGCCCGCCTCCTCGGGCCCTCTGCCTCCAGACCTGCCCGCCAGCTGCCTTCTAGGAACTCAGAGAGCACTGATCCAGACGCTGGGATCAGAAATGCTAGCTTGACCACAAGTGCCCGCCAGCGGGAAGGCAGGCCGGAAAGCACAACTGTGTCCTCAGCCACAGGAATCTGGCGCTGACACTTCAGGCCTCCAGGATCAAAATGACAATGACAGGCCGATTGCTTTGCATCAGTTCAGGACATTGAGGCAACCCCAACCCAGCAACCCAAGACAGTCATGAGAGGACTTGCAAAACAGCTTCAGAAAGCACTAAGAATGTTGGGGTCAGGGCCAGCCAGATAGCTGAGTGGACTAAAGTGCCAGCTTAGGCAGAGCGCAGCGGCTGGGGTTCGATCCCCAGCATGCGGTGCCAGTCCCACCCCTGGAGCACGCTGAGGTGGTGACTGAAAGTGGGCCTGGTGGTGCTCGCTATAATCCCAGCTCTTGGGAGGCTGAAAACAGGAGAATCACTACGAGTCCAATCTGTGTAGCGAGACCCTGTACTAAATACATTTAAAAAAAAAAAAAAAAAGTGACGGGATCAGTGAGCTCAAAGCAAGAGATTTGTTAGGGGATTTGTGGCAACATGTCTCTTATTGTAATATTTTTTTTAATTTAAACATTCAGCATGTTTTCGTTGCAGCCCTGCTGTCTGCTGGCTCAAGGGGCCCGGCTCGGGGGGCTGGCATCCTACTGCGATGGCATTTCACTTTGGTATGTGTTGAGGTCCTGCCCCTGCAGTGGAATCACCACTCTCAAGCTGTGTCTTGTAGGCCCAGGGCAGGCAGCCAAACATGCTTCATGTTGGTTTAGAAAGGTAGCAATTATGGGATTAAGAATGTTAGTGGAATGTCTAAATTGTCCATGAGAAACCTTAAAATGTGAAGCTACTTTCTAGGCAAACTAGAAAGAAAACTGCAGTCATCTGGCTAATATATGGCACGAAAGGCAGAGGGACCACAGAGGAACTGAGCTCTGAAAGGTGGATGGTTGCAGAGAGACAGGCAGTGCTCGCAAATCACATTGACCTCACACGAGGGGTGCCCTTCTCAGGGGACAGGAGGTGTGCAGGTGCTCAAACCAGTGTCCCCCGAAAGCCTCCGCAGTCACTGCTAATGTTAGAAGCAGTGGTGGACTGGCCGTCCCAGTAACAGGAAGAGACAGGGGCCAAGCCCCAGCTTTGCGACTCTAGGCGTGGACAAGGTTGAATGGATGTTGTGGTCATAACACAGAAAGAGTGCTTTCAAATGGAATCCGTGTCATGGTGTCACATGGACGCCAGGCTCAAAAGGACCAAATACAGACAAGTAAAACCAGGCCCCCGTATAAGGATTTATGCAAAACTTTACCCCATTTCCCATTTTAAAAATGACTCTTATGCATTTAATTTTCAGTGATCAGGAATTGTACATTTTACAAATCCAAATGCCACTTTAAAAAAACTGGGGTGCCTTTTGTTCCCAAAGACTATCAATATATGAGGACGATGAGAAAATAATAGAGACAAGATGCTCAATGGCCAGCTTTGGGAGTAGGCTCAGGACCACTGGGGTTCTCGGAGTGACTGCAGCTGCCAGGACCAGGCCAGTACTCCAGGCCACACAGGCAGCAGAGCCCTCGGTAACCACAGCCCCACAGCCAGGCAGTGACTATTCCTACATGCAGGACTCTGGGACCAGGTATGTGGAGGGGCCGGATCAAAGCGGGGGATCAAAAGGGAAGAGAAGCTGAAATTCATGGCTATGAGTGCTTGGAAGGCATTTTACAGACTCAGTATCTGTTCCTGACATTAAAAATAAGATCCAGGGGCCGGCGAGCTAGCCCAGCGGACTAATGCACCTGCTTAGGCAAGCTTAGGCAAGTGCAGGGACCTCAGTTTGATCTCTGGCACCACATACCACATCAGGCCCACTTCCAGGGTAGGCTAAGCTGGCCACAGAGTCGGGACGTAGTGGGTGCGTGCCTGTAACCCCCAGTGCTGGGGAGGCTGAAAACAGGAGGATCACTACAAGTTCGGGCTGCAGAGAGACCGTATAACAACCAAATACATAGAAGAAGAAGA